AAAAAATTATAAAAGCATTTCCCTAAGGCTGCTTGAATTTACCTGTCTTCATGCTCAGCCCACACCTACACATCTAGGCAGTCAAACTCTCAGAACATGGGTCTTAAGTGTCCTGAAGAACAGTCAAAAAACCAAAAGTACAGCTAATGTTCATGTCTGGACTTTGAATTCTGCACCTTGGGTAAGGGACACAGGCACACAGTGTTAACTTTCTGGCCCTAAGGGCATCAAATAATGGAGAATGGGTGTGCTGGCTTTGGCTGGATTAATATTATTCATATTAGCTGGCATGGGTTCTGTTTTGGAATTGTGCTGCAGTCTTATTAATACAGGACTATTTTAGCTAAGCAGAGCCAGGGCCTTTTCTGCTTCTCACCCCTCTTCACCGGTGAGGAGACAGGGAATTCACAAGAAGTTGGAATGTGACACAGCTGGGAGAGCTGACTCCAGCAGATCAACACAGAGATGCCATACCACAGAGGACTGTGCTCAACAATAAAGCTGGGGTAAGTGGGGAATGTTCAGATGGGTACTTGTCTTTCAAAGTCACTGTTACCCTGCTCTCTTAGAGATGGCTGAACACCTGCCTGCCCATGGGAATCAGTGAATGAATTCTTTGTTTTGCTTTGTTTCACGTGGAGAGCTTTTCTTTGCCTATCAAACTGTCATTATCCCAGCTCATGAGTTTTCTCACTTTTATTCTGTCTATTCTCTTTCTCCACCCCACAGAGCTGGAGTGAGCAAGGAGCAGTGCAAGACTTGGTTAACAATCAGGGTTAAACCATGACAAGGAATGAGCTTGGATAAAGGGAGTATCCAATCTACAGGTGAGGGTAGAATCCAGGTGCCAGTGGGGAACAGTCTTTAACAGGTAAAAAATCCCACACTCTTTCTTAATAGGGTTGAACAACTAGGAGCTAAGAACGAACTTTAAATTGAAAAGCTTGTTCCCTTCCTTTCTGAAGCTGCTGGACCAGAGTACGACAGCCACAAACTCTGCACAGCTACTGCAGTCTGAGAGAGGTTCTAGCTGACAAATTCCAAATGAGAAAGTTCAAGAACTAGCTGAATATGAATATTCAAGAGCTGAATATGTTCAGAAGAGCCAAGCTTCCAGGTTGGAGAAATAATCCTCAGCAACAGAGATTTTTGTTACTCTTTGGATACACAGTTAGACAGGAGCTAGTTTTGGGAAAAACAGACTTTTCAGATGAGGAGACTTGAGAATGGTATTCAATGAATAGCGTCTGCACAGTCTCCTTGAAGACACTTCCCTCCTGTGTTTCTATTAGATCAATGACTTTCTGAGTGGCAGCAAACTTTAGAAGTCCCTTTGGTCCTTCAGGTCTAGACCTCTGCTGCTCCCTGCTTCTCGCTGCAGGGTTGTGATGTTCCTACCCAAGACTGCTTTGTTGAGTTTGCCTGATGTACACTCCCTGTGGCCTCCAAGAGATTCTCTGTTGACCTGAAAGTGGTCCAATGCTTCCTGCGGGAAAATCAATCTCTTCCCATCCAGTCAGCTCATTCTACCTGATTCTATTTCTCCACCGAAAAAGTAAAAAAGAAAAAATTTAAAAAGACCCACAAAAAAAAGGGTTTAAAAGAAAATACTGATTGCAACCATTCGAAAGGTAATTATGGTCATTCTGTATAATCAAAACTAAGTAACTATGATGAACTAGAAGACAGAGGGCATACAAAAAGCCATTTCTGGCCATGGATTTGGCACACTTTGGGAAAACATATTAAAAAGAGGCRGCCATATCATGACTACAAATAGTGACCAGCACCAACCACTTAAGACAAGAATTACCAGTTCTCAAATGCAATCTACCTAGATAATTATTATAAGCTACCAGTTATTAATTAAATTTATGCTTGTCATCCTTACAGGGCAGGACAGAAAACCTCTAGAGAAAAACAGAGAAGAACAACTGAGACACAGGGGCAAAATATATACGGTGCCCTTTGCCAAATGGCTGCCTGGACATTATATCCCAATCCAGCAAAGTGCCGCTACAGAAATCTACACAAATATATATTAAATCATAATAGTAAATAATATAACTGTGATACATTTATACAGGATACAGAAATTATTTACAGTATGTGTTATCACAGGAAGTAGAACGTAAGCCCATGGGGAAAAAAAGATAGTTTAAGTGAAGAGCACAGCTGTAATTGGGAGAAAAGTTGGGGATTAAAGGTAAGGAACATGCCTCTTGAGGTGCAGCTTTTGAAAACGTTTCCTCCCCACCTACGAACACCTTCGTAACAGAAGCGACCAGGTGCCAGTGGGGAACAGTCTTCAACAGGTAAAAAATCCTAGCTAATTTATCCTAGCTAAGAATTTAAAAAAGAAAAGGGAGTAATACATGGACCATTAAATATCAATATTAACCCGCCCGTGAGTTTTGAAGGCTTTGTTTTCTATATTCTCTTCATTAATTAACCACCTTGATATAAAACAGTAACTCTCATTATGGAATTCAAGGAAGCTCTTACATGCTTCTGCATTCCATTATCATTTGCAATGTATGCATAACCTGTTTATGCTTTATGTTGCTCACTTTATGATGCATGTTGTCCTGGTTTTACTCGGTCCGATTTTTTGGTGGTGGGGGGATGGGACCAAGAAACCACAAAGATGGCTCCTGTGAGGAAGTTCTAGACTTCTTCTCCACCAAAAAGAGCCCTACCCCCTGTGTTTTAGAACCAATCCATTGTGGCTCTGAGGTTGATGGACAGGCTGCTGCTCAGGCCTGGGCCAATTGCACAGGTTGGTTACACCTCTGTGATGACATATTGTCTTGTACTTAAGAAGAATTCAAAACAAGATAGGCACGACCGCCATGTAGTTTTTAGGTTGTTCGTATTTAGTTTTAGTATCATGCACGGGGGAAAGAGAGCACAAGGGTGAGGAGATGTAAGAAAAAAAATGGAGACCCAAGATCAGAGTGAGAAGAAGACAAGTGTTGTGCTGCTGCTGTGTTGCTCAAACACAGAGAAAACAAGCTGTTCTCAAAAGGACTATTTCTTCAATGAGAGACCTGCATAGAAAAGGAGAGCGACCTTGCTCTAAGGAAAAAAAACCCTGGCCTTTGAGGCCAGGCCTTTGAGGACTGGACAGAACTGATTAGAAGGCACAGAAGGAGGAAGAGGCTTGACTCCCCCTCACATCTGAAGCGAGTCGATGC